CTTGTTGGGTGTGTGAGGGTGTGCCCTTATTGCAGTGTTGAGCAACATTAAGGAGCGAAATGGCCGTTTATATGCATCGGCTCGTCTCGTGGCAAGATGCTAATTTTTAGTGATTACAATGACATTTGCATTAGTGGCTTCCCACCATTTCCTGAACCCCCCTTCTCATTGATCGGGTCAATCATTCTTCAACCATGAATTCATCAATGAATAAACAAGATATCAACAGCATTTTGTTAAAATTAAGAAATTAATCCTAGTCGCCTACAGGGTCAAGAGACCATTGTAATTGTTACTTTTTTTTATATATATATAAATTGTAATCGTCATAACTACAAGTTGAAATTGGAGAAGAAAAGCGATCGCTCCCTGCCACGCCGAACATTGTTAATCCCTCATAACATAAATTTGACATACTTAAAAGTCAGTTTTAATAATGACTAATGTATTCACTTTTATTCTTCATATTCTCCGTTTTTTTTTTTTTAAACTGCCTGTTCATAATCTGCAGTATGTGCTCATTCACTTTTCTTTCGTCTGGGATCTTACTTTTTTTCGTTTTCGTTTTTAATCCTATGTCCTTTATTAAGCAAGTAACTGGAGACTCTCCACAGATATGATTTGGTTGATCGGTGATGGTAACGATTCAACGTCACACCAACAAGACTCCAGGCTGCTTAAGCAGCAACCGTATTATCTCACCGCGAGATTACATGAGCTATTGATTATGAAAACTATTTACCACCTTTCATATCTGTGGCTGGGTGTTAGTCCCCCACAGTCACCTCTTCTGAACTTGGTCAACAACTTGACTTTAATTCCCTCGTTTGAAACCGAAATATCAAATGAAACGAAATAAACTTTAAATTTACAGTAATCTCCTTTGCTAATGAAATATCCACAACAACATGAACCATATCCCACCAGCTTAGTTAAAAGTCCTTTCCAGCAGTCCCCAGCACAACTCTATCTCGTGGTGGGGGAAAAACAAGGTAACTTAACGGGAGAACATTCTTTTATTGCATAGTGACCCAAGCATTAACGGGAGAACATTCTTTTATTGCATAGTGACCCAAGCACAATCGGAGAAAATGAAAATGCGTATGAATTCAAAAGTGCAAGAGAAAAGGAAGAATATACTATTCGCAGGATAGGAGAAATAAAAGAACAGAGGAGCAAACCGAGGTTGTCAAGTGGCAGAGTTGGTGCCAAATTATCATGGAAAACCAATCCAATCGAGACAGAGGGTGTTATGGCGCCTGCATATTTCAAGATTCTTAGCCTCTGATCTTTTGTTCGTGGGTTTCTTACCGCTTTGTTTATTTATATGTAACGTAAAAGGGTGTTATGTCAAAGTGTGGACGTAGGATTACAAATCAACAGACCACTTACTCCGCAAGAGAATATGTGATTGAGAAAGACACAAGCGAGCCAAAATCAGAGCTCCATACAACTCTTGTTATTATTTGTCATTGCCGGGAGAACGCAATGCTCGTTATCACCGTATATGAGATGCATTTTCTATAACAATGTGCAAAATGCCCCTGTAACATAGGTTTCAGGCCATTCTCGTGCTCTAGTCTTTGTCCATAAACTCCTACCTCTCACAGCAAAAGGAAAGCATCTTACAGAAATCTTTGTAAACATAAGTTATCATTTCACTTATTCATTTGAGAAATGTCACCTCACAAAAATGATTTACCAATGCCTATCCTAATTATCATAAGAAAAACCTCAGGTTTGATAACCCCCTTCTCGTCCCCAAGATCATGATATGTCTAGTATAGTAGAACCAAAAAAAAAAAAAAAAAAAAGGGAAAAGAATCTCAAAATCGAGTTGTACCATCCATCTATGAGCTCTTGGCAGCCTCTCCCACAGCAACGCCAGCCTCTATCATCTTCTTGTTTTTCTCAATTGCCGCGGCAACTTCTTTAGGCATATACTTTTCGTCGTGCTTTGCAAGAACCTCGGTGGCCGCAAAATAACACTCTCCACTCCTCGCCTTTCCAGACACACTTTTAGCCGAAACCTCTTTCTTGACTTCCTCTGTAAAGGGCTTTACAAACCCTTCAACCACCACGGAGTGCCCCTCCCTGAACAAATCTGGCAACGAGCCCTGGTACCGAACCAAAATGTCAGTAACCAAATCTGTGATCACGAATTCCATTTCCGGGGATGAAGCCGGATGCAGGACGCTGCCTTCGAGGACCAAACCACCCAAGCGAAACTTGTTTTTCGATGGGTTCGAGGAGTATTTTTCGAGAGCATCAGTCGGGGTGACATAGAAGACCAACTGATCTTGGAAATTATTCAAAACGATCACAATAAAACCTGCCATGCAGCTGAAGGTCAATGCATAGGTCCAGAGTCGGCGATTCTGAAGCTGCCTAGCTCGGGCGCCGATGTCGACCGTCTTCTTAGACCGTAGTGGCTGGCGGCGAGCTGTAGAGAAGAAACGGTAGCCGGATGAAGAAGATGCGAAATCAGTGAGAAGGATCGCAGGGGCATCAGAGGGCGGGGCAACAAACAAGGGCGGAGATGCGATGTGGTTGGGACGAAGAGATGACCGAAACAATGATGCGGTCCGAAGCAGATGAGATCGAAATCTGACGGCGACAGGTGATGCCATCAGAATTTTGTAGGAGGAGTGCGAAAGAAAGACGCAGAATCCGAAGAAAAAGGGTTTAGGGTTTTCGATCAGTCTGAAAACGCAAATAATGAAGAACAAGGCTCATTCATGCTTTCGATTCGAGGCAGTTGCCGCCGCCGCCCAATTTTCAGAAGTTCCCATGTCCCCCCCCTTCATTTTTTTTTCCTTTGGCAACTCTTATCGGCCACGCCTGCGACACGCGAGTGGTAATATGGGGTAAGCGGCGAGTTGTAAATTATGAGATGAAAAACACCATGGTGAATTTTAGCTAATCCTCATGGATTAGCCCACCAACTATTTTTTATTTTAAAAATATTTTTTATGTAATATAAATAAAATATAATAAAATTTTTATTTTTTTCCGAATACTTGATTGAAAATATCAAACAATAATTTAGGTATTTTTTAAAATTTTTTATATTGGATATAAAATATAATAGTAATTATAATAATTAATAAAATTAGAAAAAATGTGAGTCAACCTTTAGGTTGGTAGACTAACCCATGATGGGTTGTGGGTTTGATAGTATAGGTTAAAAAGTTTTGTTAGCTGGCAAATTGACTTTTAGCCAGCCTTAACATATTATTTTTGGGGAGTTAGCTTAGATTTAACCCATATTATTAGCTCTATCTAATAGGTTGTTTTTTTTTCCCCAACCCGATAGGTTGGCACCTCATAATAAATTATATGTGTTTAATTAATTTCAACGAAATTATATATCTTTTATTTAAAAAATTATACATTAATTTGAAATAATGAGTTTGCATTAGAAATTTTAGACAAAATACATTAATTTGAAATAATGAGTTTGCATTAGAAATTTTAGACAAAATAAGATATCTTTTTTGGTTGCAGCCTTGTAGGTAAGCTTAGTTTTAAAAAAATGAAATGAAAAATTTATATAATCTAAATAAAATTTAAAAATGATACGCGTTTAGATATCCCTTGTTGTCACAAAATACAAGCAAAGGACCACGAAAGGGAAAGTAAGGCTATATTTTATTTTTTACGTAGTTATAAATTATAAATGTAACCACTACCTTTCTGATCAAATCACACGTTCAGAAAATAGTTCTCGCCAATCACCATCATGATTTATCAACATGGCGTGAAAAAAAAAAAAAAATCTTACTAGAAGTATTTAATAAAAACCAATAAACAAAAAATCAGACTAGATACTAAACTTGTTGAGGTAGTGGTTTAAAGGTCAATTGGTCAGGTCAAATCTAGTCTAACCGATCATATTAAAATAATTTAATTTAATTAAAAATAACAAAATATAACAACATTAATAATCACTAATAACAAAATATAAGAATAGTTTAATTGTAATAATAATAAAGTATAATAATATTGAGAATTTTGATCTTTATGATTCATCATTAATTAAAATTAATAATCATTGATACCAAAATCATAATTAAAAATCATTCAAACCTATAAGGACTGAGATATTAGGAGCTGAATGATAAAAAAAAATAAGACCAATAATAACATAATCATCAAAACCGGTTCACACCAGTTTTTACCGGTTTTCACTGATTCACTTCGATCTGACTAGTTCACTACTAGTTCGACTCTCTCCTGGTTTAACATTCAAACCAAATCGGACCACTAGTCCATTCACTAGTTTTCCAGTTGAACTGACCCGTTTGATCCAAATTTTTGTTTTCTGATAAAAACCAATAATATACTACATTTAGTTCTAAATATAAGAGTTTTCTCGTAGCACTTTGTAGTACATTACAGAGTGAATATTATATTTAAGACAAGAGACAGCATTATATTATTTTTAAGTCATACCAGAGTTTGCTTGATTTTTATTTTGGTCCTAAATATAAGATCTCAATTCACTTTATCTCTCATATTTTAGGAAAGACAAAACATATTTATTACAAAATAACTAACTTAACTAATATTTTTAATCCATTCAAATTTGTCAACTAACTCTTATACTAAGGGCAGAAGGTAATATTATTTATTTCCTTAAATTCTGTGTAATGCATTATAAAATTAATTCTTGTATATATATAAAAAAAACTCGATTGAAGGGGGCCTACTTTTTCTTTGCACGTACTACTGTTATTTACAAGGGAATTTTTTTTTTTCCACGGAAAGAAAGGTTAAGGTGAGACATGTCATGGGGCTTACACAGAGGCAAGACAAACCTTTGATCACAAACACCATCGAATTCACATAATGCTTACGGATTATTCATCAATAAGATTCGGATGTTAGGCAAGGCAGGGCGTAAAACAAATTATTTAGGCGCGGAGCTTAGGGGCGGCAATGCGGCGGGACTCGGGAGTCATGCGGCACGGGCATAAAACTAGAAAATGACACAGAAAAACTGATGGGGCAGAAAAGAGAGAGGAGGAAGTCAGGTTAGGTATAGACTGCTGATAAAGAAAGCGTGAGGGAGTCTCCTCTTTCCTTGGCCCAAGTCCTCAAACCATCTCTTTCTTCCACTCTCCATTATATTAAAATTCCTTCTCCCTCTCTCGCTCTCTCTTCAAGCACCTATTTTTATACGCCCTCTCTCCCTGTTGCTACTCCACGTAACATACATTAGTCCACTTCCTCTCGCCTTTCTCTTGTTTAATCCTTTCTTCTCAACTGCCACCCAAAACTCCTTCGCATTTCTCACGACATTCTTCCCCCTAATTCTTTCCTCAATCCTGCTAACATTTGCTGCTTTTATTTCTCCTCCCATTTAGGGGAACATAGCAACAAATTCCTCATGGATTCTCAAGTCTCCGTAGCTCTTGCTCTTTCACTCGTGGGTGGTTTGAGTACTTCTATCGGTACGTGTGCTCCATCTTTCATTCTCACGAAGGTCAATTTCGGCCAGGATAGGAAGTTTGTGCGGTGCATTTTCACAAACCAATTCTTTTTACTGCAGCGTGATTCTCAATACCTAAAACATTCGTCTCGTCGATCCCCGCCTTGTCTCCTCCACCTTTTCTGTTTATTTATACAGAAGTTCAGATTCATAATCTGTTTGTTTTCTTCTTCAAGCTTTTTTCCCCCCTGCACAATATGGTGCCATCGTTCGTGCATAAGACTGTCCTGTCATTCAACTAGAGAAGGATTTTCGCGTCACTTCTTCTATGGCAAGCATATTTAGGCTCTTGTAAACCCCTTTGGGAGTATGTCTACTTCCTGAGTATTGGGATTCTAGGAAAAAGTTACTTCTTTCCGGGTTCCATCTTTCATTAATTTGAATACATGGAAAAACATTTGAGATCCTTGCTCCCCGAACTATTAGCATACAGCGTCTTTTTTTATCTTGATTATAATTCCTGATAGAGTTTCTTTTTTTTTTTGGCGCAATTTGACTAAAAGTTCTTAATGTGGAACAGGGGCACTTATTGTAATAATTAATCAATCTCCCAGTTTGAAGATGCTTGGGCTATTACAGGTGGTTTTCATCGGTTAAAACTTTGTGATCAGAACAAATCAGTTCATTTCGAATTTTTCCTTCCTCCTCCTAAGTGAAATGTGACATAAGATCAATTATATTTGTTCACACGCCTATGAAAGTCTGCCTTTCTAAATGTTTCTTTCCACATAGGGTTTTGCTGCAGGTTTGATGCTGAGTATATCGTTCTTTGACCTGGCTCATAATGCTTTGAACTCACTTGGCTTCTTCAAAGGCAATCTTTGGGTAGGCTATGCTTTTGAGCAATTATATATTTAGCCGATAGCAGTCTCTCTCTTTTACTTCTATCGCATGTCCTCTCATGCTATTTCAGACCAAAAAGTTAGACCTTCCTGTTCATGTAGTTTTTTGCGGGTGTCATATTCTTTGCTGTCGTGGCCAATTTTATCCCAGAACCAACGCTTGCTCCTGCTTCAGATATGAAGAGTAGAAAGGTTTTCATGATCTTCCTTCAAACAAAATAAATGTTATCTCTACACTTCTTTTATGCAAGCTAAATTTTGATTATATGACAACATTCTTTAAAATAGAAAAATGGGGATGAAGGAGGCAAGGACATAATGAAGAAGCGTCACCGCCAAGTTTTATACAGTGGGATAATTACAGCTATAGGTACCTGCATATTTCAAACTTAACCACTTGTACTGCAGTTCATTGTACTTGTTTATTGATTGACAAGCACATTGTGAAATCACTTCTATTTGCTTATCTGCAGTAAAAATGTATTACTGGTTATTTTGGTATCAGGATTTTACTCAAAAAATTGAGCCCTCTAATTGCAGTGTAGATTGCAGGTCAAGCCTTGCACAAAGAATACATGAATGATGTGTTTAAACCTCTTGCAATTCTGGTTATTTTGGTATTAGAATTTTAATTAAAGAGTGGTGGCTTCTTATTGCAATATAGTGATGACCACTGAATTGGGGTGAGAAACCTCCCTGAAGAGCTAATTATTGAAGTGGGAGAACCAGCCCCCACTTAAATTCCTTATAGGGTAACCCTGCATTATTCAATGGGAGACTAGGCATTCCATGGTTTGGTCTCCATCGTATAGATAGAAGTTTAAATCTTGCACATATGTGTGATGAAGGCACATGATTTTGCCAAGACTATAACAAAAAATGAAATTGAAATTGGAATTTGGGAACACTTGACGATAGAATTCTTAAACAACAAAGGACGAAAAATGTAGAAAGGGAGTTGAAAATCACAAGAGCTGCCGAGGTGCTTTAAAATTTTAAGCACTATGAGTAAACCTATACAGTTGAACAAGTTGATAAAAATAGGAAAGAAAATAGAAAAGAAAAGAAAGCAATCCGCAGTTTACAAAAGCATAAATGCCAGATTATCAATTGAATTTACTGAAATACATGTGACTTGATAAGGAAGTTTAAGTATAATGCAAGAGAATAATGCCTTGATGACCTACCTGCTTTTAGTAACAAATGAGGTATTTTTCATTGATTGGAAGGTTATCTGATTAAAATGCTGTCACGTATAGAGACCAGCTCACTGATTGCCGTTTTGAGTTTCTTAACCTAGCATGTATGTTTCAAAATTGTATATACCATGTATGTTTCTTACCTGTCCAATTCTATATCCTGATTTGTTGTATAATTTCGATTTTCCGACTTCGATATCAGCGGCATCACTTGGAGTTCAGGTTAGAGGCCAAGAGTGAAAATTTAAATTATGAAGTGAAGGAAATATAGGATTTATCTCTTGACTATTATGCCCTGTGTTCAATGTTCCTCTAAGTTTTTTCTTTTTGGCTATCTACGCATCTTGTTGGTATAATCAAGTAGTGAATGAAAAATTGGAATTTGAATTCTCATTGACTATTATTTACCTTGTTCAATGTGGCTTCAAGTTTGATGTGGAATTTTCTTCTGTCATCTCACAGGTATAAGTTTACATAACTTTCCAGAAGGAATGGCAGTGTTTCTTGGATCCATGAAGGTATTCTGTCCACCCCCCCCCCCTTTCTAAATGCTGAAGCGGTATCATGTTGAACTTTTGAGTGAGCGATTATATCTGCACATGGATTGTTAGTGCCTCTTGGATATGATGTTTGTCTTGTTATTCTTGCAATAGGGCCTTCGTGTTGGTCTTAACCTAGCATTGGCCATTGCTCTGCACAATATCCCAGAGGTAATATGCTGATCTTTCATAGTCCCTGCATATTCTGATTGCTATGATTTTATTTGACTGGTGCAATTAGCGATGAAGAAAAACCACTGCACTTTTTTTCTTGCCTAAAGTATTTAATGACTTGTCGTATGTGTATTCTAATCTTATTTTGCTTATTTTTATCGTTAAATTTTATATGTTTTACTTGCAATCAGTGGGTTTGTATACTTGATCTTTTACTCCAGTCTGTCATGAGGCCAGAGATTATCGATTATTTTTTTACCTTTTAGGTGCATGATCGCTCTTTCTACCCATTATAAGACTAAAAGCTACATCTGTATGGTAGATGCATTCTTATTGTATAAACGAAAAAGAGGCATATTGTCTTTAGGTTCTACCTGGGAGACCTTGCATTGAGCTAAAACAGAGGAGCCCAGAAGAATGGCTACAAGATTGTCTTCCATGGACCCTGAAATTTTTTTTTTGTTTTGTTTTTTTTTTGGTTGGGGGGTGGGGCTGAGTGGCCTGGGGTTAAAAAACTTAGAACTACGATAACAATTTATTTTTGGTCTTCCTAGCGTAGTTTTTTAAGCACACCATCATCTAAGAGAAAAATTAGTTCTGTGGAGCTTATCAGTTATTATAACTACATTGGTCATCTGCTTTCCAGGGTGTTGCAGTTGCGCTTCCTGTTTATTTTGCAACGCAGAGGTAAGAATTTTCTCGGCTACTGTTGGTTCCTCGTTTTTCAATTACTTGCAACAGACAAGAGGCTTCTATTTCTTTAAGCGTAAACAGAATTTTCATAGTTGGTTAGTTGCTAGTCCATTGGAGATCAAGAGGAAAAACAGGGAATGCAACAATGATATGTGTGAAACAAAGAAGCAGATCGTAAGAAAATATATGTTCAGTAGCTGTAAGAAGTTGATACTGGGCTTGCAATCCAAATAGCTTGTCCTGTAGGCAGTGTTGATGATAGTATGTCCAGGGCCGTCAGCAGACTTACTAGTTGCAACATGCATATGATTGTGGCAATGGAGGCAATTGCTAGGCTGTTGCTTGAGGATAAATACTTTTGATCAAATCTAGGTTTTCTATTGTGTTGTCAGATATAATAAGAGAAAAGATTGAGACTGCTTTTGGATATGGCTAAAGTATATATTTAGTCCTTTAATTTTGAACAAGGTTTCAATTTTGTCCTTTAACTTTAAAAAGCATACATTTGGTCCTTTAACTCTAAAATTATTAGGCTCCAATGATTATTTTTTGTACCAATTATGGATGTTTTGAAAATTAAACTTAATATGTTAGCATTTGAGAATATTTTATCAACATTTAAGATTTTAATGTCATCATTTTTTCAAAAAATTTTAGGGTTAAAGGACTAAAAATATATTTTTTTAATTTAAGGGACCAAATTAAAATCTTGGACAAAGTTAAAAGACTAAATATATATTTTAGCCTTTGGATATTGATGCTCTTACTTGTCTACAAATGAACATAGATGTTTATGACATCACCTCTACGATGCGTACACATGCAAATTTTGATTTGGCTGATGTCATTCTTTTGTATGCCGCCTGTAGTTTGTTTTGCTATACTAATTACAATAAAGTATTACCTAAAACTTTAATTTGTTGTTTATGAATGTATCTTAGCAAGTGGCAGGCATTCAAATTGGCTTCACTTTCTGGCTTTGCTGAGCCCCTCGGTGTTATTATTGTTGGTAAGCTATTTCCCTTTTGTTGCTTTGCATCGTTGGAGCTTTTTTAAGGAAAAAATGACTAAGAAGCAATGCGATATTATGACAATGATGGGTAATATTGATGAGAACAGGTATTATATGGGAATTTAGAAGGGTAATAGTATTTAGGGAATTAGAGTTAGAGGTAATTTAGGATATTTGACACAACCTTTACTCTAGGAACAGGGGAGTATCATGTGTAGTCGGTGTGAAATTGAATAAAATTTTGGCATTTGGTTTTTGAGGTTTCCATGTATCGACAAGTTTTAGAATGTGAGTCATGTTTGCTTGATATCATGCCTACTTTAGCCTCGTACACTTGCTCTCTTTCCCTATCATTCTCAACGTGAGTTGTCATGATATAATTTTGCAGATTTAATCTTTTACAAAACCATGCTTTTTGGAGTTTTACATTAATAGATTTGAATTTACTGTGATGAGTTTTCTCCTTTTCCTGCAGCCTATTTATTCCCTAGCAGCTTAAGTCCTGAGATTCTTGAAGGCTTGCTTGGATCAGGTTTGTGGTAATAGTGAAGGGAATTGAAAGACGACGCGCAGCGAAAAAACAACTCGAAATTTTAAAACTTTCAATCCCTTTCCGGATCTACCGATCGCGTTTAAGTCAGGTAGTAAGAAGCATTACCTTTAGGCGTTCGATTCCCTGGTGACTCGATGATTCGGCCGTTCAGGATGCTTCTGGTGCCTCCTTTGTCGTTCGAAGTCGACAACTCCGGTCGGCTTCCTCTACCGGTATCCACACGAGTAGCCCTCAACCTCGAACGGCGTGCTAACGCCTATGTCCGTCTAGGGTTTTAGGAATCCGTCCTCTCTCCTCTCTTTTGGCCGTCTCTTAGGTGTTGGTTCTCTCTTAGTTAAACCCTAGCTCCTCATACCAATATATAGGATGCTATATAGGTTTAATTAATAATATTTAATTTCGAAATTAACTCTAAATTAATTCCGAAATTAATACAATATCAAAATATTGCCTAATCAGATAAGAGAACAATTAAATAAATATGGTTTAAATTAAATCCGTCTCACAGATTTAATTCTCCTATTTATTTAATAAAGAGATGACGGAATTAATTTGTATATATTTAATTTATCCTTATAAATTAAATCTAACAATTGATATCTTTTATATTCATATATATATATACGAATTTATATATATATATATATATATACACACACGTCCACCCTATATTATTCATTGAATCTGGACATATCTTAGATTCAATGAATCTGGACATCATAACTCGTGTCGGGCTATTTTGTGTGCGACCCTGTAGGCCCATATGAAGTTGGCAGTGGGCCATTAACTATAATGACCCACAAGTCGTAAGCGGTCTCTAGCAAGACATCACGACTACCCAAATCATATGAGGATCATTGAACGATGCAACCTTTCATACAACCATATCACGTCCCTTTTGTCTCACGACATTTTGGTCATGGATGAGGCATGGAGAACGTCATCCTCCTATCCATGACCGTTACTTTCTCGATCCCTGAGTAGTCTGAGTATAGAAATGGAACTACCTTTCCATTATAGTATGGCCATACATTTCTCAGACTCACTCATCGAGGGGCCCAGTAATGTCTCTCTACGAATGTGAGGGACAAATTCCATCTTGACCATTCACATTCCTACGCATGAAAAACCACTAAGCCTGAACATAGTCTTTATGATCACTTGGTCAAAAGTGACTTTTGACTAGGTCAAAACTAAGCGTTTCTCATGTATGAATCCATGATGATCTCAGGTCAAAGGGCACAGTGACATGGTTTGTATATGAGAGAAGCTTATGACTTAACCCATGCAGCTCTCTCATAGCGGGTCGGTCCAACACCTTGTACTCTTACATGTGCCTATGACTTTAATTTATATCTCCATATATCTTTAAAGTCATACTGGTCTTATTTCATCTTTGCTCCCACATAGATGACCGACCAGGGACATTTAGGATAAACCATGAGTTATCCAAGGATAGTTATCACAGTAAACATGCAAATAATATGATAACGTAATTAATAAACTCATAAATTAACAATGTTCAAAACATAATGATTGGCCCCTAGGGCACAATTTCCAACAAATAGAAGTTTTAAATGTCACATTTTTGTGGTATTTATATTGATTATTTATGTTCTGCAATAACTGCAGTTGGTGGAGTCATGGCCTTTTTAACACTGCATGAAATGCTGCCATTGGCATTTGATTATGCGGGACAGAAGCAATCTGTTAAGGCCGTGTTTTGTGGGATGGCTTTCATGTCCGCAAGGTGACAAATCTCATTGCTTTATAAATTACCATTTGATGAGATGATGCTATTGTTCGAATTTTATGAATTCTCTGCTAAGGTTTGAAGTAGTGGTGTGATTCATGTTGTTAAGTATTGAAGGGAGCAAAATTCCCTTTCATGCTTGTTAACTCTAGATACCAAGCGAAAATCATGTTGGAAAGGGTGAAAGAAATTGTTTTGTGGAAAGATGGTGCACTTATGTTGGCCACATAGCATTGGGTCACCTCAGTTTTAAATTTTCCTGGTGCTATTATTCTTGGTCTGTACTTTGTCCTCAATGTCCATTGCCTTTGGTTTCTTCAGTTTTCTTTTTTTGGGTGTGGGTAGGGGTGCAGAGGGGCTGGCTTAGAAAACTATCTGGATTTTTTCGTTCAAGGAGTTAGAATTAGCTGGGGACCTTGATTTTGTGGCCTGACATTGTCAAAACATATTTCTTGTGAGATTACCAAATAAGCAATATATTATCTTCTTCTAGTTCCTCTCAACAATGTCTTGAAACTTAAAAATGGGGTACAAGAAGTTCATATTCTGCTTGCTTTTTCTTAACTTTATCCATGCCTAGTATTCTGCTTGCTTTTCTTTCATACCAATCTTTGCCAGTAAGCTCATGTTTCATTAACATTACTGGATTTGCAGCCTATATTTTCTAAGCATCAGTTTACCAGAGGATATGAACTTGTAGCTGGGAACATGTGTCTTCCAAATGAGACGCATTCTCCCCGTGTGTGATTGAGGTGTCCGTGTTGACATAAACTGCATAGTAGCATTATCCCATCTGATTTGAGACGCCTGGGCTGTCAATAAGAAAGGCAAGAATGTACAGTCATTTGCGGAGGATATCAGACAATCAATATGGAGATGCATCTCCGACTTCATGATTTACCTTGAAGAAAGATGTACAGAGAATTTGAAAAATACCATCAATAATATTGTAAGCCGTCTGTAGTATTTTATTAAACCTCCTATTCTGCGTAAGATGTCTTTAATGTAACTGCATAAGAATGCCATTACCTGTTTAGCCATCAACTTTCTTAAACTGCGCTGTTAATGAACATTTGAAGGATAATGGCATAATTGTTAATCCATAAGATTTCTTGCCTCCATACTTGATTTTCTTGAAAATTCTCCATTTTGCTTGAAAACCGGACTAGCTGCGTGAAGCTCTCAATTAAGGAAGCGGCGCCAGAACTTTTCGATCAAGGGCGGTAACGTTGTCACTTACAGAACTAAGGCATCTGAGACTGATATGCTTTTGACCTCCAGACTCACTAGCTTTTCCCCTCGCCCCGTTTTTCTCCGGCTTCTTTGTTTTGGATCTTGTTTTGATCAGGTTCACGAGCGTTGAGCACAACGAAATGGCTGTTATCTCAGTCCGCTCAACATTTTCGGCAGTGACCGAACAAGCCAGCATTTTGTAAATTTACGTCATGCAGACAATTAATTAAAATATATAAGAAAAACTCCGATGACTGATTCACATCCCAACAGACGCCCTCTGTCATTTTATATTTATTAAACTAGAAATAAATGTGTCTCGCGGAGTATGAATCGAGTTATATATTATTCATAATCAGCATATAATATGGGCATCTATTACTAACTAAATAGTATTTATATTAATCTTTATTCCCATCATTTTGCGTTGCCCCGAAATTCCTTATTCTCGTGCCTTTGTATCAACAAACTACATGAAGGCGAAGAGTTGAGTTGGAATTTGTGTCGTAGAGGACTGCTGGATCAGTTTCTGCAATGAACTCCATCAATGCCCCCAGCAAATTCTATATAGTGGAAAGCAATTTTGGATGAAAGCGTCTTCCCATTAACTCACACAAACGCATTGATTTAGGAGACAAATTAAAGGCTACTTCCTCCCACTGCGAGGCTAGGTCCCGGATGGACCTAGACGACAACATGAGCTCTATTCCTTAGCTACAAATTGCTCCCTAGCTATTCATATTCACGAAAGAGATAGGGTTCCTGGAATTAATATAGATCGGATAAAGTGCCACACAGAACAATTGACCCAAAAAGTATTGCAGCACGCACATATTCATGTATGATACTTGATTGATTTTTTTGGCCAAAAAAAAGACCAAAGAAGACATTTGGTATTGAGACTTTATGATCATTATTTTTTTTGGGGGACCATATAGTAATTTTCCCATCAAACAAGTCGAATATCTTAAAAAACTATGGCCAAGCAGAAACTAAAGGCACTTACCGGAAGCGTGGGTAAATCTTGTCTCTTGTGGAGGCTGCTACTTAGGTCAGGAGGGTTGGTGTGACGGATTGACGCTACTCTGTAATCCATTCACACACAAGAAAAGTAAAAGAACCCAAACTTCATTATTAGTTATCGATTTCATCACCCATTTCACTGTTCCGCTTAATCTTTTACGGTAATCTCTCTTCATTACTACAGGCCAAAAAAATCTCTCTTCATTACTCATTCGCCTCTCAACCCCAGCAGTTGCAAACAACGCTCTTGCCAAAGAAAAAGAACCCCCAGCAACAAAGTTGTTATTTTTATTGTAATTTTGCTGTGAAAAGTGGAAATAACAACATAGTACAGTTGGACTTCCACACTGCTGAAGCACACTACAGATTATACTCTGAATAATCCAAATACACTGTACTTTTTGAAATGACATTTCAAGAGCCCCCATCCATCACTGCTGCATTTCAGATCCAGTGCGTCCCTCCTGTTATGATTACGTTTCCCATTTTTTTAAAAACGGAACCCTTTTTCTCTTGAATTCCTCATCATTTCAACGGAATCATTACAGCGAGTCGGCAACGTAGTATATGATGTGTCCATCACAAAGGAAATGGCAGTATCATTGCCTCCTAAAGCTGACCCCATGACACACGTTCATGAGCCTTAGGCAACTTGCTTTTTGCTCCTTCCTCTCATTATTTTATTCTTTTCTCACACTTTAATTACGACCCCTTAGTTTCTTTTCCATCAATGGGTATCGCCCCCTATACTGATTACCTTCAAGTCGCTTCTTTGAAACCTTGGATCATACTCCTTCGCATTTAAGAGTGTTTGGTAACCTGCAAATTATAGTTTTAGAAGGATTTTTTTTTTGTAAAACGAGACAAACTCCACCACATATTTACTTTGTAAGCTGTAAAAGCATTTCTGAAACTATGGTTTGATTTCTATCCAAACACCCAGTTTACAATTAACGTTCCATTTGAAACTTTACAACCGATAGCAGTTAACCGAGCTGAGAGACCCTAAAAACACTTTCTTTTTAATTCATAGTCTTTGTTAGCATATACTATATTCCTAACATACATCGTGTACTCACGGTGCAGATTCTGAGCGATAACAACGCTAGCTAGCTGGCGAGAGCAAACCTTTTTTTTTTTTGGCCAAAGGCGAGAGCAAACGTTGGATGCACATTATATAAACCTTTTCAAATTGAGTATCTTTTGGCATTTGAGTATGTGTCGAGATCGATCCTAGCATCAATTTATCTCTGGGTTACGTTTGGAGCAAGAGAGACGTGGATAAAAGGAAACCGAAACCCAAAAGGAACAAATTTGCTTCATTAATATGCTAGTCATGCACAAGTCCAAAAGTCGAAAGCAAAAATTAGTTCAATGTGAGAAACCACAGCTAAAGCTCCTGACTAATTATACAAAGTGGCGGAATTAACCCATAATACAATTAGTTATGATGAGAATGAAAGGAGTCATTTGGGTGGTCAATTTCAGAGGGCACTTCATCCTGATGGAGACAGTCAACACCACAAGGCGTGTGGGTATGTCCGAAAGCCTTGACATGATCCTTAAGAGATCTTTTATGCTTGAAGTCAGAGCCACAGGAGCAATACCAGAGTTTGCCACAGTTCTTCTCGTGAGTTCTCCAATCACCTCTCACTGCAAATGCTTTGCAACATTTTCTACACATGAAAGGCTTTATCCCGTGCTTTCTCTTGTAATGGGTTTGAAGGGTTCTGAAGTCTTTTAGAGGTTTAGCTCTGGGATGCTCGATGTTGTTCTTGCACCCAGGTGCACAACAATAGCATGGAAGCCTCAGCATTGCTGTTGGCTGTGTCCCCCTTAGAGACTCTGGTCCCCTTCTGTATTCAGATCCATGCCCCCACATATGCATCTACACATCAACACTGATCGATCTTAACAAAAGCAGTTCCATGCATCAATTCTTCAATTCAGTGGATCTGAACTAAAATCTGTGGCTGATAAGTGAAACAATTAACATGTAATTGCTAATAATTACCTATAATTAGGTCTATGCGACGTGACCGTGTCGTTTATTTTTAAACTAATTTCCAATGTCGGCCAAGTTCTGGAGTCAGAAGGCTGGCTATACCTAGCTGCTAGCGCTAGCCAGAAGGATGTGTGAATCGCATCCTTTCTCAACACGTTTGATCACTTATTTCATGGAGCATAAATGAAAAGGCAACGGTGTAGGGTATCCTTATAAAGGAAAAGTTGGAAAAGCTGAAAACGATTTGGAACACTGTGCCTCTATATCTTTTGGCTAGCAATAATGGTCACCTATTTAGCTTAATATGCTTTTACTTGAAGTCGTTCTCATTTTCTGCCTCCTCGGTGTTCAGATTGTTCTTGGGTTTAAACTTAGATCTCATATTACATTAAACCCTAGTGAGCGATTATCCATCTTTGGACACCTCAAGTTTGTACTGCTGAACAAAGTGGGGGACACGCCAAAGTATTAATTAACAAGGTGCATGTCGGTACGTAGAATAGTTCAGCGGAAATAGAAATATACCTATGTAGGTGTGAATATACGTGAAACAGACCTAAAGTATATAGAATAGTTTCACAAAGAGGGAATAATGCGATCTTGAGTAAAAGAGGAAGTAATGGAAAACCCTAAAACGGACAAAGACTTTAACAAATCTAACACCTTTAATTTGGTTAAATGAAGCCATGACATACATAGGTGAAAACTTTGAATTAGGCTCTTCTCTTTCACAGCAAATGTTCACGAAAAGTAAGATGAGAGATCGAGGAGGGAAAAGGAAAGGGAAAGACACCCTTTCTTTCAATCTTAAAATATTTCTCTCTCCTCTTGAGAGAATGAATAATGAATGTTGAGCAGGATGGAAGAGGACAAACCTGCATGTTGTTGTATCTGTTGAAGGTCTTGAAACAAAGAGGGCAGGAGAACTGTGTGGGACCAATCAGAATCTGAGCTGGGGTAGGGATCCAATACTGACCGCCTGGAGTGATCCTATCAGAGAGATACCCAGAAGATACAGTTGTGACTTCGTCTTTGTCTGAAACTGTCTCTGAGGAGCATAGGTTCGAATCAGCCAAGTCAGGCGATGAACTGCTTGGGGTTGGAAGGCCGAGGTGTAACTGCAAAGCCAACGTCACAGGATCATCATTCAAAGAACCACACCCCGTGCCTCCTTCTTTCTGCTTGATGTCTACTTGCATATCATCTTCGTCATGTCTTGGAGGGCTTAGGTTAAGGAGAGGTAGGGCTTCTCTCGGAGGAGGAGAAGAGGGTAAAGCGAGAGATGACGAGTTAAAATGAGCACAAGGAAAGTTAAAGGAGGAGGAGAAAAGGAAGGGAGAATTGAAGGCTTCGGGGCAGTAGGGGTCGGTCATGTTAAAAAGTGGGAACCAGGGAAGGGAGGTTCAAAGGCTAGGTTTGTAAAATGCGAGAGAGTAGAAGGAAAGGAAACTAAAGGAAGTGGCAGTGGAAGGAGAGATAAAAGGGAATCATTAAATAGTAAAAGTGAGATGCATGAAAGATCCATGAGAGAGAGAGAGAGGAAGCATGGGCAGAAATCCAATGTGGTTGGACCCATTCAATTGAAGCAAAAAGGCAGCGACAAGAAATCACTTTGCGAACTGTGACCTAACCTAATCACAATATGGAGAATGCTTGATCAGGCAAATCGGGAATAGCTGGAGTGATGATTCAGGTATAGTGTGGGAGCAGATGAAAGATATATATATATATATATATATATATATATGAATGATCATTCATGAGCTTGTCTTGGGACTTGGAATCAACTTATACGTCTACAGTAGTCATTGTGATTAATCTAACAACGTCTTTTTTGAGAGAATGTAATGAGCTTATTAAAAAAGAAGTGCATGGGTGAGAGGCTTCAGTGTGAAATTCACGTCATGGGGAATAGAAATAGCTGGGAAGCGAAGCAGCAAATGCTTTGGCCTGCACGCCGTGGGTCGGCTTGGCTCCCCAAACAGCACAGAGACTGTGTCTGTGTCCTCTGTCTGCCCGGCTGCACTCTTCACTCTCTCTCCTCTTTCTCTATCTTTTGCAGATCACTCTCTCTGGGGATCCGCTTGTCTCCTTCACTCTCTCCGGGGCCAAACGGAACAATCCGTTCCGCTGCGGATCACACCTCTTTGTACTTCACCCAATTTCTTACAATATCCTCCCTCTTTCAAACATCCTCGTAAACAGATATTTATTACTTAATTAAACGCACGTTTACCTACAGGTAATTGAAATTATGTTATGAAAAAAGAGGTAAGTAATTTTAATATACACTTAAGCACATTTTAGGAAAAACAGACATTAATTACCCTTGAAAATTTGCAAAATATCTCATGTGACTTTCCAAAACTCGCCTTGTATTTGAAACAGATGCAGTTTGTTGCCTCATATGCCTATGTACATGCTCCTACCCTCTGAGTGTAGACATGAATAAAAAGTGCGGATGATTTAATTAGTTGGATCCGCCGTGAAGATGGCCTCATGAGTCAAAAGGGGTCATCATGATTCACGTCCGTCAACTTTTATTCTCTTTCTGCTTTGCCCATCCGTGCCATCACTGCGGCTCGGCTTTTCTATGTACCGATAGCAGGTTTTATTAATTAAACTTAATTTCTAGCCAAAAAAGAGTCTGCTACATCTATTTTAGAAGTTAGAGGATACAGAAACCAAAATTTTAAAAGTACTTTTACATTATAAAAAATAAGTATGTAAAAAAATTAATCTCATTTTACAAAAAAAAATTAAAAAAAAAAAACTTTTTCTTCTCACCAAACCCTCGTTAATGTCGTCACAAGTTGCTTTAACTTGGTGTGTTTCGTGTTGTCTATTTCTTAACCTGACGTACGTTACTTTCGACTCTCAATGCATTTGACCATTCGATCAAACAAACAAACAAATAAATATAAACATCTGGGTGGGAGAATACGTGCAAGTCAGAACTTGACACACGAGATCTTTGTCAATGGCACAGCAGTTCAAAACCACCAATGACATGTGAATGTTGAAAATATGGATTACAAGAATATTGAATATACGATATTGTCTCCAAAATTCCAACAGCATATGTACAGCAGAGGACGAGGGGAAGAAGTCAAAGAGTCCCTATTCTAAACTGGGAAGAGACATGCCCCAGCCTTGGCATGCTCACCAAGGCGCTGTGTCCCCAACAGTGAACCAACCTCCCTCCTTGGAATCAAAATGGAAGCAAGCCATTTCATGCGAGGCATTAGCAATCTAACCGTTAAAAGAAGCCATCAGGACAGCTAATTAATATTGGGAAAACAAAAAGGCCATACGCTATTTCACAAGGATGACAAAGCAAGCTTTCGTGAGGACACGGGGAAGAACAAAGTGGGCTCCGGGCGGCAGGCTAAACGTTTAGTTTCTATGACCGACTCCGAAGTGAAATCTCCTTTCACGATTACCATTAAAGGCATACTCAAGACGCAAAGGACCCAATGGAGAATCCACACGGATCCCAAACCCATATCCGCATCCGCTCCCAGGTTTCAGCCTTGCTCCAGCAGGGTCACCTTATAAAAACCAAAATGTGATTCGCAAACACATCTCCACAGAAAGGCATCAAAAGACTCAAATGTTTAATGGTTAAAATTGTTCAATTAAGACAATTTAGATATTGTGCCACTTGACTTGACTGTTGAATCTTAATACTAACCTAGCATCACTTGTCATATGTTTTATATCATATATTTCACAAAAATTAACAGTTGAGCCTACCAGGAACAGTTGAGCCTGATCCAAGATCTGTTCCATAGTCGGAAAATAAAACTCCTTCTACTGGCCTCAACTGCAAACAGAAACAGTATTAAGATCAGTGAACCAACTTCTCTCCAAACTTATTTTTCGCCAAATGCATGTATCCATGGGCATCTACAAAAACACGTTCAACAAATTCAAATACCATCGGGAAAGAAACTTCTCCAGAGCCAACAATATATGATCGACCAGAGCCCACAGCACCTTCTTCGTAGCCTCTCACACTATTTGTTCCGCCAATAGGGAATGCTTCAAAGGGAGAGAAATTTCCCACCACATGACCACCAGAGAGGCTACCAATGAAAATTAACAAATGCAAAATAGATCATTGGTTCATTTTTTGATAACAACAGATAATCTGCTTTTGTTTTACAGGGAAGACACATCATTCTTGTTCAAGAAAGAAGCACATTTATTCCATACCTTAAAAGAAAGCGAGTAGGACCTATCTCAATGCTCGTCCTAGCACGCACATTCGTCCTATTGAAGGACAACCACTCAGGCAAAAGAGGAAGTCCCTGTTCCATATTGAAGACAAGCTACAAAACCAAGCAAATAAAAGTGAGAATCAAGAAGAGAAATTTGCATTACAGGACAGAAGAGTATATAACAGACCATAGAAGACCCATGATCGCCAGAACCAGTGTAAACAGTCTCAAATTTAGCAAGCAACATGTCATCATGGGTATTTCCACTGCAGGGAGACATTGGCGAAAATATTAGAAACAAGAAACCAAAACAAATGCAGCATTTATTTTTAGGTTGCAAACCCTGCAGTGAGAGGACTACTGTAACCATCCTTGATGATAGGAGTCCCTTTGTCGTCACGAACCCCGGCATGCTGGAGTAAAAGCAATCATTAAAAGAAAAGGGAATACAACTTAGCTTATTGCTTATTCAGAAATGATTAAAAAATAGGAGGAAAAACAACCACTCACAAAAACCAGCCTCGCTACTTAAATTGTGAATTTAAGTACCTGAAAAATAAGCCCTGCAGTTCCACTCCACTTTGGCCTGACAGGTCGACTGAACTCTATACCAGCTGTGACACGACCAATGGTCAGGCTACTATTATCAGGCTGGTTACCATGAACAACTGTTCCAGGGGTTCTTGAGTTCTAGTAAGAAGTAAAGGACATGCCAGAAGACACAACCTTTAGCTTAAAAGCATCAAGATTACAGAAGTTGAACAGGGACAAAATAAACCTTCAAATTACCTGAATCATTATTGTCCTAGATGTTCGTTTGTCATCTCCTTGAATCCAAGGGTCTGTGAAGTTTATCCGAAATATTGAGTCAATCTGACCCCTCTCCAAGGATATATTGAGTTTCTGGTTGCGTCCAAAAACATTCCTATGAGAATAGGCAAAGCTGCAATAATCATAGTATGAACGATTACACCAGCTGTATCAACTATTCAATCTTTTAAGGTGGAAATTCAGCAAACATTATAAACATAGATATCAATAAGAAACGCTTTTATTCGGTTGACAATACTAACAATGTACACATGTTGATGGAACCCAAGCTCAAAATGACACCAAAATTAGCAATAATCTTGCCGGAGTAAGAGTACAAGTCTAAGCAAGATGAGCTACAATTCTGAAAATAGCAACATTCACTCACTAAACACTTACCCTCATCTAACACCAAAACCCTACATTATAACTCGAGTTGGCTTGTACACATATTTATCAATGCCATTAAGCAGTATAAAGAGTAACAGAAGCCAGATAAATCAGCCTCAAAATGGCTTACATTGCAGCAAGGGAGCTTAGATTATATTAATAATAACATAGAAGGAAAAAATACGATGCTGCAGGATAAATCATCCGCTAATAACTTTACAGCAGCATGATGCAATGAGGCGTATGAGCTCACCTTCCAATAAGTCCAGACAGAGGACCACTGGTAATCCTGTGATCATAAATAACAGAGTTAGACCATGCAGCAGAGGAATTAGTTATTTAGTGTGTATTAACTCCATGAATGCATGCTTGAAATTAGTACGACTCACCCACTCGATATTCCACCACCTGCTGAAATCCTCCACTAGGACGCTCCACCACATTCATCACCAAATCAACCTTCCCTGTATCTACAATATTGCAGAAACAAAATACGCTAGTTTCAAGGAACGGTTATACTGACAATTTACCTTCCTAATAGCTACTGAACTCAAATGAAGCCCATTTTTCATTACAATTTATTACCTGCTGGCTGAGGAATAATGCTAACATCTTCCATGATTCCCATAGTTAACACAGTGTCTACATCTCTTTTTCCCTGAATCATACTGTAGACCTACAATAAAATTGTATATTGTACCAAATTCCTTGTTAGTAAACACGCCAAATCAACCTGGCATATTTCCATGAACAAGACTCTCTACACGCAGGTATGCATGAATTAGAGTAGTAGATCAGCTGTTCCCTACAGAAAGAATTACTATAGACTGAAGAATGTTGATGACTTCACCCGTTAAAAAAAAATAATTAACTTCAAAAGGCCAGGAGATTCTCTCTATTTAGCTTAATTTGCACAGACATGGAAAGAACAAAGGTTCTTAAAAAAAGCAATCAACAGCTAACTCTCAACTCAAAATGAATTATTATCTTCAAAGTATTCGAGTGAGTACCTGCCCCTTCTTGGTTGTAATTTGCCTGAGTATTGTTTCTGGCTTTGTCTTCCCTAAAGTAGGCTCACCTCTGACAATAGCAAACTAGTTACTAATAATAACTTAATAAAAATCAGATGAGAAGTTTTGTGGTTTTGTGACTGCACGTGTGCAGGCGAATTGAATTGAAGATCCTTACGTCTTCCTATCTAGAAACCGTATAGAGATGTTATTGACCTCAGCTTCTGAAACTTGCAATCTCAGAATACCCCCTGAGAGAGTCTCAACAGCTGAAACCTATAATAATGATTAAATGAGTGGGGAAATTAGAGTGGGGAACAACAACAACCATTATCCTAGTTGGAGCACAAGCTAAGCAGAGTTAAAGCCCATAAATATATGGAGCTAAAAGCACTTAAAAACAGGAAAAAGCTTATATTACCAGATTTTGGAGGATAAACAAAGATATGGTCAAAAAGGCAAGTTACCATAGCAAAAAGACCACGCTCCATATACCAGCCATTGATGGATGATATGCTTCATCCAGTCGCCTTAGATTGATAACTTTCCCTGTACAAAGTAACAAAAAATTGTTATGGAAGACTGCTATGAACAAAGAGTCATTTAATTTGCATATATATGATTAGAACTGCATAGGAAAGGATGAAGAAGAGTTACCATATCCATCCCGAAATGAATCCTCTAGAAACTTTGCTGGAAGAACATTAGCTCCTTCACATACCAAACCTTGGAACTCTTGATTTGCTTCTACCTTATGCCACAAGAAACCAGCAGTAATTATTAGATGCATGGGCAATTCATAGATTTCTTTGACCAATTTCAATGTAATTGGGGAAAAAAAAATCTAATAAGCATTCTGTTAAATTAGATAAATGATGCAGGGTTTCTACTTCTGTGGGAAACATTTTCGCATTTCCAAAGCAAAAGTAAAACGCGACCATCTTTTAACTTCGTACCATGCATGCCTTAAAAGTAGAAAAACACAGCTTTCCCAGAACATTAAGGACGTGAATTTACTTATTTTACTACTGCAAAAATGTAAAGCACTCATGGTTTCCAGCTCATGATACTCACTACTCTTCTTGAACATGATAAATTTAATTTTTCTGGGAAGGTCAGTAATAAAGTAGAAAATGAACAAGGCTTTACTCTCTTGTAAACAAAGTTGGATATAGAAGTGATCAGTAAGGATAAAGATCCAAACTTTGGATACAGAGTCAAGTATGCAATCACTTGCAATTGAAGATCATGGCAACATATGACATTTTCGGTGAAACTCTAAATAAACAGAATTAAATATAAAACAAAAACAGTATGCCTCTTTTGCACTCGTACCTGAAATACCAATCTGATGCCATCACGGGTATCAACCGCAACTGGCATGCACGAGCAGAAATACCCACTATTAATGATGCGATGCACATCCTCTTGGACCTCGCGCACAGTAAGAGCAGAGTTGGGTCGGCAAGCTTTGAGGGCCTGAAGTGCCTCCATCTCAAGTCCTTTCTCTCGAGCTCCTCTCCATCCTTGTTTCTAACAAGCACCTCACTGATCAGCACCCTCTCTTCGTTCTGTCGACTTGAAGCGTGCCCCTTCTGTGGTGT